CTCAGTTACAGGTAGGAATAACTGTGAAGTGTGTTCTATGCCAGGAGGGACCAGTGTTGGGGAGAAGGGGCTGGCCCTACTAAGAATGAGAAATCATATGCAGCACAATAGAATATGGAAGAATCTAGGCAATACAATGTTTCCTGAAAACTGTAACTCCCAGAAAACAATGCCACAGATATGATACCATTTTTATAGAGATTATAAATAAGCACAACTAAGCAAAAGATTGTTGAAACATACATTCTATTATGATTGCATGGCATGTTTTAAAAAGCAGTGGAATGATAAATACAAAATGTAAAATAGTGGCTATTTCTCAGGGGAGGCAGGGAAATGGGACAGAGAGGGTTACACTGGTACATACACCAGTAGGCAGTAGGCTATTGGTTTCTGAGTTGGGTGATGAATGCACGGGTATTCATTACATTAGAATAATTTAGAATCATTTGGCCAAGCACCAAAGAACTGATGTTTTCGAACTGTGGTGTTAGAGAAGACTCTTGAGAGTCCCTTGCACTGTAAGGAGATCAAATCAGTCAGTCCTAAAGGAATTGTAATGTAATTAGCCTCCAACTAATAAAAATAAATGGAAAAAAAATCCTAAAGGAAATCAACCTTGAATATTCACTAGAAGGATTGATGCTGAAGCTGAAGTTCCAACACTTTGGCCATCTGATGTGAAGAGCCCACTCATTGGAAAAGACTCTAATGCTGAGAAATATTGAAGGCAGGAGGAGAAGGGGATGACAGAGGATGAGATGATTGGATGACACCACCAATTCAATGGACATAAATTTGAGCACACTCCGGGAGTTAGTGAGGGACAGGGTAGCCGGCATGCTACAGTCCATGGGGTCATAGAGTCAGACACAACTGTATGACTAAACAACAACAAATAACTGTGAATGTATATTCCATATAAACCTGTGAATGTATCAAATACTGTTTTTCAAAAGGTAATTAAAAATAGTCCAACACAATCTCCTCAAGAAAGGAAATGTAATCTTAGTGATTACTAGCTCTGCAATGAAAGATATTTATACAGTCACAATATATAAGGTAAACACTTTATTGAGTTTCAATTTTATTTTTTTTTTAGTTTCAATTTTAGAATCAACAGATGGACAAAGCACGGAAGACTCAACCACAGCTATGAAAGTAAACATAGCTGTTATCAGTCTTGATGTTGCCAGAATAAAAGCCTAGAAGAGGTAAACTGGAAGACAGAAGGAAGAGAAAGAGCCAAAGGGAAGGGAGAGGGATCTGACAAGAGAGTCTCCATGTAAGGTTGTGCAGGATGGGCACTGCACAAGAGCACATGGCAAAGAGGGTAAGAACTGAACTCTAGTCTTCATTCTGCTCAATCAGCCATACCCCACCAAGGGGTCCCCAGTGGCCTGGAGGAAGATGTGCTTTGTTCTACATCTACATAAAGGTGCTGCTCCCTGCCAAGTCAACTAACCCTACATCTGTTCAGAAGGGCTGCCTGTTAACCACAAGGTTGTAGGCACACAGGGCCCTCTTGGGCTAGCAGCAGCACTGACCAATTATCTTGTAAGATTTTGTATCAGTGTGAGTTCTTTGGTTACAAGCACAAAGCCAGACTGACTAAGCTAGGCAAAAAGGAGTATATTGGGTGATACCAAGTAAGCACAGACTCAAAAGGAAAGCAGAACATCCAAGCCTAGAACTCAACAGAGACCAGGGGAGCATGGACAAATCATTAGCAACAGCTGGTCTCCCAGGACTTGCCTGGTGGTCCAGTGGTTAAGACTCCACACTCCCAAAGCAGGAGGCACAGATTTGATCCTTGATTGGGGAACCAAGATCCCACATCCGTGCATGACCTAAGACATAGAATAAATAAATAAAAATTAAAATTTCTTTAAAAGTAAAAAAGAACTGGTCTCTCTACCCACCATTGTCTCCCAGATCCCCCTGAACCTCCATCCTTCTCTATTTCTAGGTAGGATTCCAAAACCCAAGCATCTGACAAGCTCGGATGCCTTGATTGACAGCTCAAGAACTACATGGGCGTAGGAAGGGATCACTTCCCCCAAAAGAAAGGAAGCTGAGCAGTCGACTAGTAATGATCATGTGCTCACACAAGTACAGAGTGGCAGCTGGAATGGAGTGAGAGACTGGGAGATTTCTGAAAAGGAAGGAGCCCCACTGTTGCATCAGTAAGGGCAGGTGCTTACCCAGGCTTCTAGGACAGTAGCCCCTGGAGAACATGGACTTAGGCTTAGAACATGGACTCAAGAACACAAGCTTATTGGTCACTCCTTGACTGTCCACGTGGATGTGCTTTGCTGCCTATATGACACTTAGAAATAGTCCTGCCCCATGCCAGCTCACCCCAGTACAAACTCCAGCATGAATCTCCTCTGTGATGAGCTCCCAGATTCCTGGCCTTGCTAGGATATCTCTGTGGCCAGAATCCATGTGCTGCAAGGTCCCTCCCTTTTGCCTCTATGAAATATACATTCTTCCTTCATGTGGGCCTGTTGAAGGTGGCATTTCTCAAACCCTGATGTGTGTACTCCTGGTCTGGGCATCTCATTAAAATGCAGATGCCACAGTTTGGACAAACAGGTGGTGCCCCAGGTGGTGCCTGTGCTGCCATTCTAAGGATAGCACACTGAATAAAGAGCTAGACTCCTGAAGATCTAGGTTGCTAGATCCACTCTCCTCCCAGGATGTCCTTTGACCTTTAGGCTTTGGGCACATGGGAAAATGATGGGCAGACAGGCTTGCTTGTGTGTGTCCTGCTTGCTTCGTTCTGCCTCTGTGGGACATTCCATTGCCTTCGATATACCAACTAAACAGAAGTAGAAAGAAAAAGAGGCTGCTTAAAGCAAGAAGTGAAGTAACTGCAAAAAAAAGAATTTCTGCTCCTGGAAGAGTGCAGTTTAGAAGAATGAAAAGACAAGACACAGACTGGGGGAAAATATTCTCAAATCATATATTTGATAAAGAACTTATATCAAGAATATACAAAGAACTCTCCAAACACAATAATAAGAAAACAAATTACTCAGTTTGTGAAAGGCCCAAAGTTTTGAACAGATACTTCATCAAAGAAGATATACGAATGGCCAATAAGCACATGAAAAGATATTCAGCATCATTAGTCATCAGGGAAAGGCAGATTAAAAACCACGAGATACCACTACACACCTAATAGACTGTCATGCAAAACAAAACAACAAAACTGACGATGCCAATTAGTGGCCAAGACACAGAGCAGGATACCAGCCACAGCACTCATACTTTGCTGGTGGGAGTGCAAAATGTACAGACACTTTGGAAAACAGATGGCCGGTTTCCAATAAAGTTAAATTAAACACTTACCATTGTTATCATCATTGTTGTTCAGTCCCCCAGTCGTGTCCGACTCTTTGCGATCCCATGGACTCCCAGGGACAGGCCTCCCTGTCCCTCTCCATCAGCTTGCCCAAGTTCATGCTTATTGCATTGGTGATGCCGTCCAGTCATCTCATCCTCTGACGCCCTCTTCTCCTTCTGCCCTCGATCTTTCCCAGCATCAGGGACTTTTCCAATGAGTCGTCCTTTTGATTCAGATAACTAAAATACTAGAGCTTCAGCTTCAGCATTAGTCCTTCCAGTGAGTATTCCAGGTTGATCTCCTTGCTGTCCAAGGGACTTTCAGGAGTCTTCTCTAGCACCTCAGTTCAAAGTATTCAATTCTTTGGCATTCTGCCTTCTTTATGGTCCAGCTCTCACAATCATACACGACCACTGGGAAGACCATAGCCTTGACTATATGGACCTTTGTTGGCAGAGATATGACCTAGTAATCCCACCCCTAGGTGTGCACCCAAGTGAAATGAAATCTACATTCATCCAAAAACCTATATGAGAAGGAGTTCTCTGGTGGTCTAGTGGTTAGGATTCAGCACTCTCATTGTTGTGGCCTAGGTTCAAGTCCCTCAGGGAACTGAGATCCCTCAAGCTGCATGGTGTCAGCCAGTCAGTCAGTTCAGTTGCTCAGTCGTGTCCACAAACAAAAAAACAAAACAAACACAAGGCCTATGCAATAATACTTAACAGTGACTTTATTTGTAATCATTTAAAACTGGAAACAGGAACTTCCCTGGTGGTTAAGACTCCATGCTTCCAACGCTGGGGATGTGGGTTCAATCCCTGCTCCCAGAAATATTAATAAGATCCCACAAGACTACATGGCAAAAAAAAAAAAAACACCAAACTGTAAACAACCCAAACATAGGGAATGAATAAACAATTGCTGTGCATCCATGCAATGGACTCTTATTCAACAATAAAAAGAAAAGTGTTGACATAACAATGTGGACAAAGCATTATGCTAAATGAGAGAAGCCACACTTGAAAGGCTACCTATTGTATAAGTCTATCTATATGACATTATAGAAAAGACAAAACTGTAGGGATAGAAAACAAACAAGAGATTGCCAGAGGCTGGGGTGGGATAAGGGGTTCAGCACAAAGGGGCACAAGTGAACTTAAGGGAGCAATGGAACTCTTGTATCTTGATTGTAGTGCTGATTACATGACTATATGTGTGCTTAGTCATGTCCAAGACTCTGTAACCCCATGGACTGTATAGCCCATCAGATTCCTCTATCCATGGGGATTCTCCATTCAAGAACAGGGGAGTGGGTTGCCATGCCCTCCTCCAGAGGATCTTCCCAACCTAGGGATTGAATCCATGTTGCCCTCATTGCAGGTGGATTCTTTACTGCCTGAGCCACCATGGAAGCCCATGAATACTGGAATGGATAGCCTAACCCTTCTCCAGGGAATTTTCCTGACCCAGGAATTGAACCAGGGTCTCCTGCCTTGCAGGCGGATTCTTTACCAGCTGAGCTACCAGGAAAGAGGGTGGATTTTGCTCCATGGAAATTACACCTTAATTTTTTTTTCAAGTGAAAAGAATTACATTTTAAAAATATTACCTTGGAGAAGGAAATGGCAACCCACTCCAGTATTCTTGCCTAGAAAAGTCCATGGACAGAGGAGTCTGGCAGTCTGAAGTCCATGGGATTACATGACTGAGCATGTGAGCACGAGGGTGGAGGGAGATGGGTTGATAGCAATAAAGTGGTAGAACTAAAAAAACACAAAAAAAATAGCACCCCATTGGGCTTCCCTGGTGGCTCAGGGGTAAAGAATCTGCCAGCCCATGCAGGAGGCACAGGTTCTATCCCTGATCCAGGAAGATCCATGAAGACCCCACATGCCATGGAGCAACTAAGCCCACGAACCACAGCTACTGAGCCCACACACCCTAGAGAGTAGCTCCAGCTCTCCATACTTAGAGAAAAGCCCGCATAGCAGCAAAGACCCAGCACAGCCATAAATAAATAAACAAAATTTAAAAACATAGCACCCCATCAACCTCATAGACTCAGCACATTTTTAAAGGATTTTATCAGGCGTCGTCCAATATACAACATGTTGCCTTCACCAAGTGTCCCTGGTGACTACTGGAACCTGTGACTACTAGAACCTCAGCTCAGCCTATGGAATGGCTGTGGGGAAAAGCGGGCTCCTCTCACCCACTTGCTTCTCAAGGTCATGATTGTAGCCCACCTCTCCTGCAATAATGAAACAGTGGCCACAACGATGTTGACCCAGAGCCCATAGAAGGGCCAGCTCAGAGGGAGGTCAGTGCCCAATCCTACCTGTATTCTCATTGACTCCCCAAATATGGGTGCCACAGAAGAGCTGTGAGTAGAGAGAACACGCAACGACTATCCCCAGTCTGTCCCCCGAGTCACTTCCTCCAGGTCTGAGACATACGTGCACTTTTCCTTGTTGTTTGCTCACTCAGTCATGTCAGACTCTTTGCGACCCCATTGGCTGCAGCATGCCAGGCGTTCCTGTCCCTCACCATCTCCCAAAGTTTGCCCAAGTTCATGTCAGTTGCTTTGGTGATGCCATCCAGCCATCTCATTTTCTGACTCCCTCTTCTCCTCTGCCCTCAATCTTTCCCAGAATCAGGGACTTTCCCATGAGTCAGCTGTTCACATCAGATGACCAAAATACTGGAGTTTCAGCTTCAGCATCAGTCCTTCCAACGAGTAGGAAGGCTTTTCCTAAGCCTGTGAAAATGTTTGTTTCTTCCATCTCCCCAGAGGATAGAATATGAAGGAATGGGGTAATGGCAGCTCCAGGATGCCCCTAGCCAGGCAGTAAGCCTCTCTACCATCTGGGCGTTTGTAGCTATGACCCCCCACCACCATGCCTGGAATGCCAGTCAGGGCAGCACTGAGCCTTCTTACAGGAAACCACAGAAGGCAATCCATAGGAGCAAAAAGTTGGGGGTGGGGGAACAACACAGAACAGAGAGGGTGATGGGCACCAGGAGAATGATGTACGTAGCTAAGGCAGAGAGGTGGACGTCTGGCAGAAGGTGCTCAGGAGAGGGAGGGAGAGAATGTATGAGAGCCAAGTCACTTACTACCACCTGGACCACCTCTACCCACTTCACTATTCCATCTCCTCTGTCTTTGTTGCCTGGGCCCCATTCCTCTTCCCATGAAGTCCTCATTCTCTCACATCTGCTTCTTTGCTGTATCACTGTGCTTTCTGTTCCTTGGTCTTCTCCAACAGACATGCAAAATGCAGACCTCTCCAGGATTGTACATATATACACACACACTCAGGTCACCCCAAAATGGAAAGGGACCTCTGAGATAACAGGAACAGGACAGTCCCCTCACCTCCTGTCTTTTCAGTCTCTTTGGAACATGTGGTTATATTTTCAAGACTTCATGTCCCCCAATTTATTTATTTGGCTGTGCCAGGTCTTAGTTATGGCATTTGAAGGAGGAAACGGTAACCCACTCCAGTATTCTTGTTTAAAAAATCCCATGGACAGAGGAGCCTAGCAGGCTAAAGTCCAAAGGGTTGCAAAGAGTCAGACACGACGGAGTGACTGAGCATACAGCACACTGGGATCTCTAGTCGTGGCATGTAAGGTCTAGTTCCCTGATCAGAGATCGAACCTAAAGCCCCTTGTATTGGGAGTTCCGAATCTTAGCCATAATGCAATTCCCCAAACAACTCTTAGCTGGTTTCCATCTTTCCATTGTCCCAATATCAGAACCTCTAGCTTGGGGCCTGGAGGTTTCCTTAAGTGGCAGGACTCGGGAAGGGACTGAGGATTTGGGAGGGAACATATACGTGGGATACATGTGCAGCTTTGCCTCTGGATGTGTCTGTGTGTCTCTGAGTATATCAGAGGAAGAGGGGAGTTTCTGTGGAGTGACACCCCACCAGCCCCCAGGAAACTTGTGAGCATGTAGGCCAGTTCCCTGCCCATGACCACTGCCTTCTCTTCCTGGACTTCAGTCCCTTTGTTGCCACCCCTAGAGTGTTCTTTGCTCAGATCTTCCCAGATGCTTCCTTCTTGTTATTTGTGTCTCAGCTTAACGTCTTCTCCTCCAGGCTCTTCCCCAAAGCCACACACACACACACACACACACACACTACTCTGTATCATAGCCTTTTTTGCATTTTCTTCAAAGTAATCACTTCTATCTGATCTGATCTTAGTTATTAACTTGTTTACTTAGCAATTTCCCCAGAATGTAAGCTCCTTAAGGGCAAGGTCCTTGTCTTTTTCATCTCTGTATCCTCAGATCCTAGAAGAGTGTCTAGTACATAGAAGGCACTCAATGAACAGATGTAGAAATGAATTAAACACAGAGATGCTTGGCTGCTCAATAAGGACATTTATTGCTGACTGATCGCCCTTTGTGTTCTTCACTTGCCCAAGTCCCAGCTATATCTGGCTCTACCTGTCCTTTTCCCAACCTGCAGCTCCCTGCTCCAGCACCTGAAACCCTCCCACCACCATACTGCCCAAGATCCCTCGGAAGCTATGAGCATCAGCACATTCAGGCCTTGCACCTGCTCTCCAAGCCCCAGGTCCCAGCAGAGCTGACCCCTGCTCTCAGAAGATACCTTTTCAACCAGCTCCGCTCCCCGAATAGAGTCACATTTAGAAACCACTCCTCCTTTAAAAACATGGTCCCCCGAAAAGCCTCAACAGAGCTCCACCAACATTTATTGATGGTGATGACTCAGCGGGTAAAGAATCCATCTGCAATGCAGGAGACATAGGAGATGCAGGTTTGACCCCTGGGTTTGGAAGATCCCCTGGAGAAGAAAATGACAACCCACTCCAGTATTCTTGCCTGGAAAATCCCATGGAGAGAGGAGCCTGGCGGGCTACAGTGAGTTGCAAAAAGTCGGACACGACTAAGTGACTAAGCATGGCATGGCATCTCATATGCCAGGCACTGTGCTGGGTCAATCTCCAAAGTCATGGACAAGCCAAATGCCAGTACCTTTCTCCCTCTGAATCCCTCAGAGTCCTTGCACTCCCTTGTGAAGGGCATGGCAGTTTCTGTCCCAGGCAAGTTGCCATGCATGAGCTGAAGGAAAGGCGTGATGCCACTCGCCCGCAATTGTCTGCTCTGCTGTCTCTGTCCCTCACCTCCTCTGGCATCATGCCAGTTTCTCATCTGTAAGCAGATGCTCTGGGTGGGGTTAGGCAGAAACGCTGGCTCTCTGTTCTCTCCCACTGCTTGGCCCAGTGTTTCTGTGAAAGGATCATGATGAAGGCAAGAAAGCCCTAGAGGCTCAGTTGGCCTGAGAGCCACAGCTGAGGCTCACCCAAACCTGGGGCCCAGAGTCAGTCTGAAGCTCGAGGCTAAGGCTGGATGGCTGGTTATGGTTCAGGCTGGATGATCTGCAGGTAGGGATTATAGAGGCCAAGCTTTGGCAAGGAGAAGGGCCTACAAGCTTCAGGAGGCCTCAGACCCCAGTTACTGGCCATCTTCAGTCCTTCAGACGCCTCTGCAAGCCTGCTTGGTGTCTCCAGCCTTCAAGAGACCCAGAACCCAGGCCTCTCTCATCCCCAGCTCTGGCCTCTGGCTGCCAAGCCACACCCAGCACATTTGCCTCTGGAGCTCAGACCTAGTGTCTTTTTGAGGAGACTAATGGAAAAAATGAGGGGTGAGGGAAGAAATAGAGCACTCAGTCATCTGGCAAGGAGGCAAAACCACACACCATGTTCAGAAAAATCACCCTCCTTGATACATATACAGACATATGCACACACACAGATTCTCTGAGACATACTCTGGATTCTTCTAGAAGAGAGGAAGTGGCTTAAGAGGATACAGGAGGCACCCCAGGAATGGAATCTAATACTTCGCAGACTCAGAAGACAAGACAGTGATTGCTATAGCACCAAGCAGGGTTCCTACTGGTCTCTTGGGCCCAGATCACCATCAAGACATATTTCTGCTATTGGCTATTTGATCCTAGGACTTTATCTCAAATGCAGCCCTCTTTTAACTGCATTGACCTAGAATCCTCTTCTTTGGCTGTGAGCATAGCAGGGATACTCACTGGCCAGAGGCTCAGCACCAAATGTCCGCTCTACACTGAGCCTCTGCCTCCACTGGCAACCCACTCAAGCCATCTTCATTCTCCCTCCTGCGTGGGCTCAGACGGCCCTGTTTTCATTGGCTGCCCAGTCTTGAAGCTCAGTCCCTATTGGTTGCCACTGAGGTAGCGTTTCCACTGACAGCGAATCCAGTGCATGGATGGGCTTTGTCCTCTCTGTGCCAGGCTGCCAGCTGTCCCAACTTGTGCTGCTCCCCCCCACCACCATGCATTAGGGTGGGGGGGCATCGGGGGAGCCTGAAGACGGCCCAACGGCCTCCAGGAGTCTCTGGTGCTGACGAAGGTGCTTCCTCCTTTCATGTTCCCCTGTGACTTCACACACCAACTGGGCAGGGAAGGCTCCAGGAAGCCCCTTCAGCCAGCCTGAAAAAGAAGACACAAGGGCCTAAGTGGGGCCACTTAGAGGGCAGGCCAGGGGGGAAGGGAGGCACAGTGGGGTCTAATGCCTAAGGGTCATGGCAAGCATGGGAATTAGTGGAAAAGCCTTGGAGCATTGGTAAAAAGGCCATTAGAGGTGGACGTGACAGCAGCATCAAAGAGAGGTGGGGTCCCTCCCGTAAACCTCTTCACTGACTGCTCATCTCACTCAGGGTGAGAGCCAGAGTTTTTACAGGAACCTATGAGGACCCTCATGACCTGATCCCAGTCACCCTTATGACCTCATCTGCTTGTCTCTCCTTTCCTCACTCCCTCTTGTCACACTGGCTTTCTTAACGTTCCTCAAACACACTGGCCTGACTCCTGCCTCCCTCTGGGACACTCTCACACCAGACACCACGTGCCTAAATTCTTCTACCAAGTCACTGTTCACAGGGTGCCTGTGAGATCTGCCTCACCCTCTCTATTTATTGTTTGTTTGTTTATTTATTTGGCTGCAGGGAGTCTTAGTTGCAGCTTGAGAACTCTTAGTTCCAGCATATGGGATCTAGTTCCCTGACTAGGGATCGAACCCAGGCCCCCAGCATTAGGAGTGTGGCATCTTAACCACCGGTCTGCCAGGGAAGTCCTTTGACCTCCCTGTTTAAACATGTAACCCTACCCAACAGGGAGACTCCTAACCTTGACTCTGCTTCACCTTTGATTTTCCATAGCACTTATCACCTTATTTATCTTGTTTGTTCCTTATTGTTTTACCTCTACTTGAAAGTACAGCCTAGCAGGGCAAGGATATCTGCATGTCTGGTACACGGTACTGAGAACAGTGAGTGGTATCTCATAAATGCGGAATAAATATTTATTGAATGAATGAATCAAAGAATCTCTCACCTTCAGGGTTCTTGTGTAGGTGCTTGGGGGGTGCCCTGGACTCCACATTTCGTCCCTCTGTCTTGGTGGGTGTGGAAGGCTCTGAACAGAGTTCCTGGGAACACTCTGGTTGGGGTGGGTGACATCACAGTGGGATCCAGGCTCTTTTTAGCTTCCCCCCCATATTCCTTGAAGACTCCCTTCTCCTTCCCTCCTCCCCTCTTGGGGACACTCACCACAGTCCTCATAGATGGTGTCTGCAGAGCAGGGAAGGGGGCCTGGGGTAGGGAAGGCGCCCAGCCAGCGCTGCATGTCTGATCTGGTGGGAACATAGGGAAGGGGTCACCTTTGGCCCAGGAGATCTTGCTGGGGGTTAGGCAGGGGCTTCGGAGGAAAGACTTTGAGGGGAGGGTGGTGGACTCTGAGAGATCAGGTAAGGGTCAGGAGCCTTCAGGTAAGGGTCAGGAGTCCAGGGTGTCTTCTTTTTCGGCGGCACCTGCTGGATCTTAGTTCCCTGACCAGAGATTGAACCTGTGCCCCCTGCAGTGGAAGCATGGAGTTTAAACCACTGGGCCACCAGGGAAACACACACACACACACATACACACCCTGCCCAGGGTGTTTTCTGAAGGAGACACAACTCACAGCGATGAAGCTTGGAGTAGCCGGTGTGTGGGGCGGCCCTGGTGGTTGCTGAGAAGAGAGAGGCGGAACGTAGGGGGGCCAGATGGGTCTGGCACCTGCTGGGCCTGGACCAGGGAGCGATGGGCATAGTCCAGAACCTGTAGCCGCTGCCCACTGCCCAGGGAAGAGGAGGTTCAGAGGGAGGGCAGTGGTCCAGCTGGACTCCTCCTCCCCACCCCTGCCTGGGCTCCCTCCTTCACTGGGACCCACCTCTTGGGCTGAGTGATGAGCAGCAGGTCACTGAAGAGCAGCAGGCAGAGGGGGGTGAAGCGGGGGCGCGAGGCAAAGAGCATGCCTCCCCTCCTGCACCCCAACTCTGTCAGTTCCCCCTGCAACTCCAGGCGCCTGGACCAGGAGACCAGAGGCAGGGCCTGCGAGGAAGCAGGGAGGAGATTCTGACCTCGCAGCACCACGGGGAAAGGGAAGCCTGGAGCCTGGGCAGGGGGCTAACCTTGACTTTGTGGAAGCGCAGCCTCTGTGTGAGCCGGATCAGCTCCTCTGTCTGCTTCATGCGTCCGACCTCGGCGCTGCACCGCTCAATGATCTGGGTAAGGAAGCCAAATCACCAACCCTTCCCACCCCATCCACCCATCCCTCCCTCCCACCTCCTCACCTCCCCCAGCCCCAGCATGCCCCTCCCACCTTACTGACAGCACCCAGGGCCTTCTGGGCATTCTCCTGGCGGCTGGACCCCTCCTCTGTCTGGCGCAGGATATTCTGGGGACAAAGAGGAAGGGTAATTGGACCCCTGCTCTGCAGCCCTGGGATTCAGAGGGGTTGCAACTCTGAGGACCCCACTTGGCTTGGCATTTTAGGGTTCACAGGGCTGGGGCACTAGCCTCGCCACTCATTGTCTGCATAACCCTGAGCAACTCACATTACCTCTCCTCTCTTAGTTTCCCCATCTGTAAAATGGGGATAATTCCTACCAATCAAATCAATAGCATTGTGAGAATTCAATAAGGAAATCTATATAAAGTACTTAGCATAATCTTTGAGACATAGTAAATGCTGAAAAGACGGTTGCTATTATTTTAATAATTATTAACCACAACTAATATTATATTAGAGGGTTTCCTGATAGCTCAGTTGGTAAAGAATCTGCCTGCATTGCAGGAGACCCTGGTTTGATTCCTGGGTCAGGAAGATCCACTGGAGAAGGGAAAGGCTACCCACTTCAGTACTCCAGTATTCTTGGGCTACACTTGTGGCTCAGCTGATAAAGAATCTGCCTGCAATGTGGGAGATCTGGGTTTGATCCCTGGGTTGGGAAGATCCCCTGAAGAAGGGAAAGGCTTCCCACTCCAGTGTTCGGGCCTGTGTCCCAGAGTTGGACAGGATTGAGCGACTAAAAAAATATTAGTAGAAGCAACATAGCATGGAGTTAAGAGTACCTGGATTTGAAGTTTGTCTCCATCAATTATTGAATATTATCTGTATGACCTGTGGCAAGTTATTTAGCCTCTTTGAGCCTCAGTTTCCTTATCTAAAAAGTGGGATCAATAATAGTTCCTATCCTCACACAGTCATTAGTCAGGTTAAAGGGGTGTGTAGCACTTAGAACATCTAGAAAAGACACTCAAGAGCTGCTTAGCTATTATGATTAGAGCCATCCTCCTGATCATAATTATGCTGTTGTTGTCTACACTGGGGATATATAAAGTGGTGCCTGTGAGCTCAGTCATGTCCGACTCTTTGCAACCCCATGGACTGTGGCCCACTAGGCTCCTCTGTCCACGGGATTATCCCAGCAAGAATATTGGAGTGGGTTGCCATTTCCTCCTCTAGGGGATCTTTCTGACCCTGGAATTAAACCCGTGTCTCCTGCATTGGTAGGGGGATTGTTTACCACCGAGCCAGCAGGGCAGCTCCTATATAAAGCTGAATAAGACATTAAGACACTGGAAACATAATTGAGGACTCCTCACCTTGAGATCCCTACATTGGGTGACTTGGTTCAGGGAGAATTTTCTTCTCTACAGTAGAAGAGTGTTTCTCACCACTTTTTTCAGTATCACCCCTCTAACGAGCCTATTTAGACACTGCCCCCCCCCCCACAATGAGATTTTAATACCATTGATATACTGTATATCTATTTAGGTACTCTGGCCTTTTGGAGTACCACAACCATTGGAATATTTAAGATGTTTTTACCCCTCAAAGGAGGAGTTTCTGCCTTCTTAAAGATGATATCATCTCCACTAGGAAGGCATACAGTCAAAGATATGGCTTGAGAAGACCTCAAAGACCACTCACCACATTCACCCTGAGACCTGGAGAGAGAGAAGGGGGCTTGCCCAGAGTGGCTCAGCCAGTTAGCCGCAGAGCTAAGCCCAGGTCTTAACTTAACTTAACTCAGGTCTCTAGCCTTTCTTCTCCTGCACCAGACCGTTTTTTGAAACGTTTGGGTAACTCCAGGTAGGGCTTGGGGGTGGGGGGTGTCCTAGATGGAGGGGGCCCCCCGATTTTGAGTCCTAACTTAGGGGTTTGCTGTGTTCCTGGTGGGGCAGGAAATGGCAATGGCGGGGCAGGAGACCCCTGGGGAGAGTTCCCCATCCGGGCTGGTGGGGACTAAAAGGGCCCAGGCCGCGAGGCGGTACCTGCAGCAGCATGCGGAGCCGCGTGATGCGCTGAAAGGGCAGGAGCAGGAAGGAGGGCAGCGGGAGGCGCTGGCACTTGGGAAGGCTCTGCAGCCGCCGTAGCTCCGCGGAAAAGCGCACGTTCGTGTCCCTAGGGAGACAGGCGCAGGCTGGCGTCTGGCTGGAGGCCCTAATCACCCGCGACCTGCCCCGGCCTGGCCCCTGCCGCTGTACCCCGGCTTCCTCCCGCACGGGTGACCCTCCCGCTACTACACTCACATCAGGCGGCTGTAGGTCTCCTCCTGGTACTGCTGGTTCCGCACATAGTCCACGTACACGGAGAAAGGCCCCACGGCATGCGCGTGCACCACGTCGCACAGGTCACGGATGTGGGGGCAAGCGCGCACCCGGGACAGTAACTTCCCCAGAAAACTGCGGGAGTGGGCAACACGCACTGGAGGCGGGGCAGAGAGCCTGGGGTGCCCCTCCCCCAACTTCTGGAGGTAAGAGCCGGGCCGGGAGGGGAGGCCCTGGAGACAGCTGAGAAGCCGTGCTTTCCCCCACCCCAGGCTTGCCCAGCGTAAAGGTGGGGACCCCACTGACCGCTCACTGACTCCCTGGACTCGCTGCACGTTGGAGAAGAGGGTGTGGTGATCCCGGGGGGTGAGCGTATCCCGGAGCGCCTGGCTCAGCACGAAGGTGTCTGTCAGCAGCCGCAGGGAGCGCAGGTACGAGGCCTCCGACGTCACCACCTCGAAAAGGCTCTAAGGAGGATGCACCGGGCGCGAATGGAAAGCCCAGCTCTCAGCCCCGGCCTGGGGCCCAGGCTCCTCCCCTCCGCGCCCCGCACCCGAGCCCAGGGACGCCCACCTCCTGCATCCGCCGCTCCTGGGCACTCAGGGTGTCCAGGAGGCCGCTGGCTCGCACAGCCGGAAGCTCCTGCCACAGCGTGTTGCGAGGGCCCGGGGGACGGGCGAAGGTGGGAGCTTCCCCGGCGTTTGCGGAAGCGGGACCCCCGTCCTCACCGACCCCCCACAGCTCCTCTGACAGCACGGCTGCGCGGTAGGTCTGGTACAGCGGTTCTGGAGAGCAGACGGCGCGTCAGGGAAGTCCCGTGACCCCGCTGGCCGGTCTCAGCAGGCACCCCGGGGCCCAGAAGCCCTCACCATCCTGCAGGGGCAGCTCCCAGTTCTGCTCCTTCAGCTCCTCCAGCTCCTCTTCCTCCCTGTGGAAAGAGAAAGGGATGGAGTTCCTCAAAACACAGCTATTCACATGATACTGTGCAGGGGTACACAATCGATGTCCAGGTTGTATGTAGGGACCCTAGCCAAACCCCAGCTCGTTTTATGTGCCTGTGTATGTGAGGCCCTAATTGGGACCCGTCCATTCCTGTTATCTCAATCTTTGGGCACTGTACACTTCTAGCCTCCATCTCCAGGGCTTTCATGGAAGGACCACTGTCTGGAATGTTCTGTATGTACCTCAGGGCAACTCAACTCCAGCTGTTACACCTCCCCCCATTCTGTTCTGGTCATCAGCACCACGGCACATCCATTCACCCAAAGTGAAAACCCAGGAGACTAAACTCCAGTAAATGCTGATTAAATGGATGGTCTCAGGTTAACTCTGATGATGGTGGTGAAAGAACTGATGGGCCCCAGGTAACACAAGAGAAATGTTCCCGGTTGCCACATGGATTTGTGGACAATAATTTCAATAGAGGCTCAAAGTGGGGCAACTAAAATGACTTAGTATGGGCCTGACTCTTCACCAGTATAAGACCCCAGCAACTTATTAAGTATTTGGTATGTTTACCCCAATTTCACAGGTGAGGAGGCTGAGACCTGGAAAGGTTAAGTGAATGTTTGAGGTCACATAGCTGAAAAGGGACAAAGCTGGGGTTAGAAACTGGGACTGCTTGTCCCTAGAGGTGCAGCCCTTCTTCACTCCACGCTTGGGGTGGGATTTAGGTGGACCCAAAGTTTAGTCTGGGCTTCCCAGGTGGCACTAGTGGTAAAGAACTGCCTGCCAATGCAGGAGACTTAAAGAGACTCAGGTTCCATCCCTGGGTTGGGAAGATCCCCTGAAGGAGGGCGTGGCAGCCCACTCCAGTATTCTTGCCTGGAAAATCCCATGGACAGAGGAGCCTGGCAGGCTACTGGGTTGCAGTAGTCAGACACGACTTAAGTGACTTAGCACGCACGCGCGCGCGCACACACACACACACACACACACACACAGTTTAGTCTGTTTTCAGGAAGGAATATCTAGGTGTTCAGTACCTGCCCTCCGTGGTGGCTGGAGGATCATTCTGAGGAGCACCATCAGGACTGTCCCCTAAGAGAGAACCCAGAGTGAAGAATCACCAGCCCAGGACTCCCGACCCCAGCCCAGCAAAGACTGTTACTATAGAAACTACAATTGTCAGCCCCGGAGCAGCAGCTGGTGGAGGAACAAGAAGCCCAGGGCTTGTTGGGGTTTGTAGTGAGTTGGTGTTTAGAACACTATACCTCCACCCAGTCCTTTCCCAGCCCCGAGGTCCATCCCTCCAGCCCTGTACCTCTTTGGATTCCATCTTCAGAGGGCGGATCGAGATCAGGCTGTGGGGGCTCTCCAGAGACGGTGATGTCCTGTCTGACCCGGGTTGGTTTGGGGGGCTTGAGGGGTGGCAGGAGTTTGCGCTCAGCAGTGGAGCGGTAGGACGTGAGGACGACTGGAGGGTGGCTGAGGCTTGAAGGGCTGGGGCGGGAGCGGGAGGCCCGCAGTGGGGAGGCCCGGCAAGGTACTCTGGGACCATCCTCATAGCCCCCCACAGGCACCCATCGGAGCTCCAGGCCAGGCCGGCCCACGTGGCAGACACAGGGGCAGCAGGGAGGGCAGGCCAGCCCAGCACCTGTGGGAGACAGGGGCCTCCTTAGGGCAGCCCCCCTCCCCAGGCCTCCTCCCTCCCCTTAACCTGCATGGCAGCAGGAACTGGAGGTCAGTGCTAGGCATCTCTCACTTCCATGCTCTCTTCAAAGCTCCAGAAGTATTAAAACCAGATTTTCGAAGTATGGAATCATTTTTTAAAAAGTAGCCTCTTAAAATACCCAATCTAAGGGCCTTGCCTGGCAGTTTAGTGTTAGGATTCTGCATTTCCAATGCAGGAGGCATGGGTTCAATCCCTGGTTACACCCCTGGGGTGTATCCCCACCCCTCCAAAAAAAATCATAAAGCCCTGAGAACGAAAAAGAGGAGATGGATTGAGCCCAGCCCGGCTTACCTGGAGTGCCGTTCTCCTGGGACCCGCTCCCAGCGAGGTTGCCCTGGGGAGTCTCTCTCTCCCCATTCACATCCACTCCCCCTGGGGGACTTGGCTCCAGGGTGTCCGCAGCTTGGACTCTGCCTTCAGTCCCCCATTCAAACTTGCCAGCCAGTCTGCGCACAGTGCCTGGGGCCGAGGCAGAGCCATCCTGGTCGGGGACCTGGGTCGTGGGGAGCAGGGGCAGAGCCATGTGGGGTGACCCAGAGGGTTTGGGTGGGGGGACTGGAGACCGGGGAGCAGGCTCTGGGGAGATGGAGCGCCGGGACACTGGGCTGGGGGTGTCGGAAGACGAGTCTGGGAAAGTCTGGGAGTCGAGGCTGGCTTTAGAAGCTGACGGGGGCAGAAGGGCAGGGGGTTTGAGGGATGGGGCCGGGGGCTCCCAGAACATGGGGGTGCACATGGGGGTTGGTGCCTCATTGGCGGTAAGGGGAGATTCTTGTGGAGAGGAGCCGTTGTGGTGGGGCCCTGGGGACTGGGTAGCCCGGGCCCGAGAAGGGGGGCGGGGGCGGATGATCCGAGGGGGCTTCTGGGTGGGGGGTGTTGCTTCCGGAAGAGACTGGGCTGACATCTTCCTCTGAGCTCTTCCAAGGAGTGGGGTACACTGCTGGAGTCATCCCCTGAGGAAGTGGGGGCAGAAAGAGAGACCCTTAGTGCCCCTTGCACCCCCCACGCTCCTGTGAGTAGATCGAGACCTTTGAGCAGAAATGTCTGCAGGCAAATGAGCCGAGATTTTAGGCTCAGGAGTAGAGGTGGGGGCACTTCCTCTCTTCCCTCCCCATTTCCACTGTCTTCTCTCTTTATCTCTCACTCCTCCTTATTCCGTTTCCTGAGAACTCTGAAACCCCACCCCTGCGCCCCCCAGCCTCCATCTCGCTCCATCTTTTGACTTCTGCTGTCACAATCAGGCCAGAGGAGACAGAGGCCAGAGTGGGGGCACCTGGATAGAGACCCAAGTTGGGAGGAGCACAAGAGGACTGGATCAGCAAGGGAAATAGGGCATGCAGCTAAGTGTCTACCTGAGGAATTGTGTTCCGTGTCTGTAGTATGTGTTGTGAATGTTTGTGTGTGTGGTTTAAGCATGAGTGGATATGGCATGTGTGCGTTGCTTCTGTTACTAGTAATATATGAACCGGGTGTTGGATGCTGTGTTTCAGGAGCGTATCTGTTGGGACTTCCCTGACCATCCAGTGTCTAACACTCCACACTCCTAGTACAGGGGGCCCCTCTTCGATACCTGATCAGGAAATTAGATGCTGTGTGCCTCAGCTAAGAGTTTGTGTGCTGCAACTTAAGAGCTTGATCTGGCCCAAATAAATATTTGGGGAAAAAAAGTGTATCTATCATATACGGTACAAAGTGGGAAAGTGGGGTACACAGTGTATGGTGAGAGTGAGATGGGGGTGTTGGGTACGTGTTCTGTGCTTTCTCTGTGGGGCGTATGTGCTGTGTGTGCCTGGGCCGCATCACAGCTTCCCTGCTCCTGCGGGCCCTCCGCCCCCCATTTCCCAGTTCCTCTCTCCGGACTCTCCCTTTCCGGATTATTTTTAGTCTCCTTTTCCTGCCATGAAGATTCCTGGAGCCTTTGACCCCAGGAGACCAGGAGGCCCCGGGCATGGTCTCTCCTGCCCCATCCTCATCCCTGTCTGCCTCCTTGCTCCCCACCTGGTCCCGGAGAGACCGGTGAGTAGAAGCCTGGATCCTGCCAGGATGCCCAGAGTGTGGTGAGGAGAGAGATCAGATCAGAATGAAGGTGAGGACCAGTTGGGCCAAGATGCTGGGGCATGGGCTCGCTTCCTCCTGTAAGCCTGAGCAGGCTGAAGGGTCAGAGCGGGAAGACCTGTGCCCCCAAATTCCCTTGTGGAGTCAGCAGGAGAGTCAGGTCCCTCTAAGCCCCAGATTGGTTTCTGAGAAATGATGCAGGGTGGGGGCTGGGGGCCGTAGACCGTGAGTCTTGAGGCTCAATGGCCCCTGTGTTCTAGCAGGAAGCTCCTTAGGTGACCCAGGCAGTAGCCTCGCCAGCTGGCCAGCTCCTCCCCAGCCTTGCCCCCTCCGGGATCCCTGCCCCCCTCAGGTATCTGCCCTTACTTCCTTCCCCCACCCCCGACTCAGGCCTCTCGCAGGGACCCAGGTACTCGGCCCAAGCACTCACCGTCAAGTCCTCTCCACTCTCGGTCACCTCCCGGGGCTGAGTGAGTAGGGGCAGGAAACAGGAATCGGATCCTCCTCCCAACCGGACACCCCCCCCCCCAACCACAGCAGACTCCACATGCGCACACTGGGGCTCTGGAAGATGTGAGGGACCCCGAATGCCAGGTTTCCAAGGATAACAGAGTCTGTGGAAAGGATGAACCTCGGGCATGGAGAGTGGACTGTTGTGTACGCGCATGTTCTGTCCTGGCTCCACATTGCTTCCTGGACAGGGAGTTTGCAGGGGCCCAGGCTGGACAGGGGTGGGGTCAGGATGGGGTGACCATGGCCCCAGTTGGGCTGGAGGTAGAGCGTGGGCTCCAGACACCCCTGGGTTGCTGTGGTGTGGTGTGTGTGTCCCTTGACAGCGTGTCTGACCATCTCTCCCACACCTTACGAGACAGCCCGTCCCTTCAGTATCCAGCCTGTCACCTCAGTGTGAGCCAGCCCGTCATTTCACACCACGGAACCACATCCCTGCCCCGGTTGCCCCCTCCCTAACTCTGAAGTAACACTCTCTGAATTTACCTTTATCTCTTTGGAAGCAGTTTCTATTTTCAGCCTGTCCTGCCTGCCCCTTGGAGCAAGGAATGTGAGGCCGGGTCTCTGCGTGTGTCTGTTCCTGTGTTTCTGGGGCGGGAACTGTGGGCCCAGATTCAGATCTCTGCAAAGGAAGCCGGTTCCTCAGCCCCACCCAGCCATTGTGTTGGGAGTGTGTGTGTGTGTGTGTGTGTGTGTGTGTGTGTGTGTGTGTATGTGTGTGTGTGTAAAGGAGGAAGAAGGTGGCACATGCAGATGTGGGAATTAGTGGGGAGGTCTTGGTACTACCCAGGTGGGTATGCCCTTGGCTGGGCCCCCTGCCTGCTCCCCATTCTCAGTCCCTGTCTCTCAAGGTCCCAGCCCCGTGACTCTCCAGGTCCCACTGGGAGGTCTTGATGTTGATTGGCTGGGAGTCAGTACCCCTGGGAGGGTGGGCGGGGGTGGGGGAGATCCCCTCTCACCTGTAATTTGCTTTGTGATTGAAGAGTTCCCTGGGCTCCGTGTGTGTCAAAAGAACAGCTGAGGAGGTGGAATGAGCCACATCCCATCCTGGGAAGACAAGGAGTGGGAGGAAGAGGCAGCGGGGGCAGTGAGGAACTCTGGCGGTCTTTGTCCACACCCAGGTGCCTACTTTTGCCATACACACACACAAACCCAGGACCAGACACCCAACTTTCCAACACACACACACACACACACACGTACCCAGGACCAGACATCCAACCTCCCAACACACACGCACACACACCAGGACCAGACATCCAACTTTCCAACACACACACACACACCCAGGACCAGACATCCAACCTCCCAACACACACACACACACATACACACACACACACACACACACACACACACCAGGGCCAGACATCCAACCTCCCAGCCCTCACCTCTAGATGCTTGCCAGGTTCCAGGAAGAGGAAACCTTTACAAGAGTGCCTCAGAGACCCTATCGAGAAAGCTAAATGCACATGTGCAGCCAAACAAATCCTGCTTTTTATTTTCACTAAAATAGGAATGTCTTTATTAGGTTTGCAACTTCAACATTTAAAGATAGCTGAATGGCGGGGGAGGTGCGGATTCCTTGGTAGTCCACTGCTTAGCACGCTGTGCTTTCAGTGCTGGGGCCTGGTTTCAATCCCTGGTTGGGGAACTAAGAGATTGCAAGCTATAGGCACGGCCAAAAAATAATAACAACTGAGAATTCCCTGGCGGTCCAGTGCCTAACAGTGGTCCAGTGGTTAGGACTCTGTGCTTTCACTGTTGAGGATGCAGTTTCAATCCCTGGTTGGGGAATTAAGTTCCCATAAGCCACATGAAGAGGCCAAAAAGAAAAATAAATAGACAACTAACCCAAAAGCGCTGGCTGTTAGCTACAAACGTGTTGGCACTTGGTATTACCTGAATTGCCCCAGGTCTGTGTGGGAATGTAAGCAGGAAAAGAGGAATTAGGTGGGCTGGGCTACCTGTGGACTTTTACCTGGTCTTCCTGGCTTGCCTGAGCTTATTTCCTTGTCCTCTCTCTATCCTTATTGGAAACCCACCTGGAGGCTTCTCACCTGCCCACCTGTTGGGGAGAGACTTCCCCTACTCCTGAAAGCAAGCCAGCATGTTTTGGGAAACTCAAGTTCCCTGGAGCTACAGTGAGGATGTAGCACTCCTGACAAACACTCCTGACAAACAGGTTCCATTGGGTCCCCTGCTCAAAGCAACCACAAAGATGAAAAGTATGACTTATGCCCCCAAAGTCAAAGTGTTAGTCGCTCAGTCATGTCCAACTCTTTCCAGGCTCCTTTGTCCATGGAATTCTCTAGACAAGAATCCTGGAGTGGGTAGCCATTCCCTTCTCTAGGGGATCTTCCTGACCCAGGAATCAAACCTGGGTTTCCTGCATTGCAGGCAGATTCTTTTCCTTCTGAGCCACCAGGGAAGCCCTTGTTATGCCCCCATCTCATTCCAAAAAAACACTGAGTTCTGAAAATCATACCTTGTCCTGTGTACCACATTATTTTTGCACAAACACATTTTATGTATCAAACTAATGTTTTTGCAAAGGCACTGAAGGTCTTTTTTTTTTTTTGGAAGGTTTTAAATATGATAATAGGTTCTTCCACAACAAGCAAAAGTTTTCTGTTTTTTGATCTTCCAAAGGTGCCAGCATAGTTTCAATACTGTTTTCTGCCTTCCTCTCCTAGCATTGCTTCATAACTATTTGCCATGTTACCACACAGTCTTTGTAACTGTACTTTTTCCTGGAATGTAATGTTGCACCAACTAGATTTTGCCATCCTGGTAAAAACGGTAAAGTCTCCTGGGAAAATCTTCGTTCCCCCACCCCACTCCACGTGGTTGCAGTGGGACAGCCAACACCAGCAGCCTCCTCCTGGCCATTGGAGTCAGATTCAGTCAATTACAGGATTCCATTCCTCTGACCACAGAGACTGGCCCAGGAATGAGCTACTCACCCATGCCGGGACAGCCTCCTGCCCTGGGTCTCTGGGAAAGGACAGCTTTCTCTTTCTTTCAAGGTCACAAAGCAAAAATAAAATAAGTCAGGAGCCATCTGTGTCTTGGCCTCCCTTCTCCTGGTCAATAGTGGAAGAAAATTAACTTCCCACAGGAGAGAAGCAGACAGAGGCAAGAGATGGAGTGGGCCTGCCAACATCACTTAAGCCCCTTGCACTGCCCAGTTTCCGGAACCACTGAATTCTCTTTTGTGCTTAAGCTAGTTTGAGCTGGGTTTTTGTCACTTACTGCTGAAAGAATCTTAAATGCTTCAATTTATTCTTGAGTGCAGGGCATTTGGACAGCTTCCAGTTTTTGCCATTACAATGAATG